ATGGGATGCTGGTGTCCATCATTGTGTCAACATTTCACCCCAAAATATATGAAGTATATATCAGTACGCATAAAGGTAGTTTCATCCCTCGTGTTGAATGTTAGATTAGCATTACGTAGCAGCCATGATGGAATATCATTGTAGCAGATAGTAGGCTCACGAGGATCCTTACTGAGACATTTAAATATAATGAGCCAGTACCATCACCCCCGAAAGGAGGATTATGCGACCTAGTCCGAGTGTGAGTTTGTGGTTGAGTCCATTCGTGAGTGAGCGCACACCTCTTGTTCCCCCTACAGTTAATCCTCCATTTTGTATCATGTTTTGGGGGAGGTAGTCATAGCTGCATGCTCAAAGATCTCTCGTTGTTGTAACTAATTGTGATCCGTGTATGGTGGCATTGACTGCCTGCTGACGCCTCGCTCCCTCCTTTTGAACTGACGGGAGCCGATGTCACATAGCTGAATGCAGGGCCGCCTCTCGGGGAGAAAACATTTTGCTCCCTTTCAGTGTTTTTGGACACTGGGCTGCTGCTGCTACGCAGGCTGACAGCTGGCTGAGCTCAACATGTTTGGAAACTGGAAGATGTCTTTGAATCAGCTCTTGAGTTGCTCTCCTGCAGAGAAAGTAGCTTCATATCTTCAAACGGCATCACGCGTGGAAATAAACACACTGACACGGCACAGTCCTTCATTTTCCTTCATTCATTCAAAAACGAAAAGAAAGATGTATTTTTGTCACGAACGGGGTAGGTGGAGCCAGGACTCAACGCAGACGCAAGAAAACTTACTTTATTAATTCCAAAATCAAACTGCCGAGGGGCAAAACGCAGACGGGGACCAGGAACAGGCAAGCCGTCCACCTAGAACATTCAATGACGCGACAAGGGACAAAAGACACGCTTAAATACACTGGGGAGGTGCAGGTGATTGAACACAGGTGGGAACACGAGAGACAAACACAGGGGATGAGAGGACAAGGCAGGAAGTGAAGTAACCCAGAGACACAAGAGGCAGAAAACTACAAAATAAAACAGGAAACAAACCCAAACCGTGACATATTTTGCCCTGTGTGAGTGTGATGGGTAGAGCTCCCCCTCCCTCTACCTGTTTGCCCACACCACTCTAATTAGTGATTAGTGAGGCCAGATTACTTCCTGGTTTCCTCTAAATGTAGGGTTTGCCCCAGGTATTCCCAGCTCCACACTGGTCTCAGGAATGACTACAGCTAGTCAAGGTGCAGGACTGAACGCTAAAGGGGACTAGTCATAGAGCTCCCACCCCATCCGGGCCGCACTCGCCATGTGTGGCTGTACAGTGGGCAATTTCCAGGAACGGGGAAGTGATGTCTGCTTTTGGTGGTAGCTGAACTCTAGCCACTGCTGTTTTTTCCCCCTTTTGCAAATATATTTTGTATTTTGTATTTACGGTAACCTCGTTTATGCTAGTATTTTGACTTCAATAGTAAATTTGTTTTCTTCCTAGACAAGTTGGTGTTTAATTTTTTATTTGTTTTCTTTTCCTTTTGTAAACCAACTGGAGTGGGTCCTAAAATGAGGTCCTCTCAATACCAGTACAGGTGGGCTGGTCATAGGTCTATAGGTGGTGGTCCACTAGGTGGAGGGCTTCCTCATTTTTTAAGTTTATTTGGCATGTTTTATATTTGTGACTTTTCCTTTCTGGTACCTGGTGGTGGCCCCTTTCCCCTTCACTTCCCCACTCCTTTGGGCCTCCCTGATACAGTCACCTTGTGCTGGTAAAAACGCTGCAGTATAGTGACATCATTTTTTTTAGCATAGAGAAGATATTTTTGTAATAAAAGCCTTATTTTTCAACGTAGACTGTTATTTTAGAAATTTACTTCTCTGCTCCCCTTTCTTGAACAAATAAGAACCTTTATTCCTTTGTGGTATTCTCTGGGTGAAAGTCCCAGAGTGGCATTGTTTCATTGCGTCCAGGCACATCATTTGCCCCGGTCACATGAGCAACAGTTAAAGGCCATTTTTTTTAAATTAAAAATGTTCAAATCAACCTCAAAAGGTTGCTTGCCCTCAGTAGAAACTCCTCAAAATGCAAAACAACAACCACTTTGTCACCCTAATCAGGGAACCGTCACAGTCTGCTGAGAGTTTCAATGATTCAAGTTTGCTTTGCCTCAGAAGAGAAAGAAAAAAAAGAGTTTGATCAGGTCAAACCTACCAAAGACAGGAGGGCACGCAAGAGCTAAAGCAAACTAGCAATAAATAACAGCAGCATCAACCAGTGTGAGTGCTTCTGTTCTCTGGTCAGATTCCTGGGCAATACGAGCAATCTCAGATAAGTGACTTAGGAATACAAAGAAATGTCCCCTAAGCTGGAGCAACCAAGTCGCACAGCGCAATAAAGAAGGCAGTGCTCGCATTCATATTTAAAGACAAAGAAAAGGCATTTAAGAAGTATAGAAGCTCTATTTCTTTTCAACGGATGCAACATTAATGAGCGAGTTAACCACAGAAGGCCTGATGGAAGCGCTCACAAGAGAAAAGGAAAAGGACGTGGCTTTAATTTATTAGCCAAGCTTTTTGAAAAATTGAAAAACTGGTATTTGATTTTAAAATAATGTGTAGAAAGAAAGGATATGGAGCGGCGTGTTTGCTGAGATTACTGGATACAGAGGTTAAAACCTGAAGATCATTTTCAATTAGATGAGTGAATGTGAAGTGGGTGCACGTCAAATAGAGAGGAAGAACAGAAAATAGGAAGATTGGGGTTGTTCTAAATACATGATCCCAGGAGCGTCAGTGACCCAATACTCCCTGGAAGTACCAAAAGAGAAACGGAAGTGAGAAAGGCATTGTAACATGGGGAATTTGTTCATTTCCCTCAGGCATCTAAAAGTTAAAGACACCTTGGTCCACTTCTCCTCTTGAGGATGAACTCCGTCACATGGTCTCTTACTCACATTCACAAAACCTCCCCCCTCCGCCGACAGGGAACCAGAGATGAGGTAACTGCCTGCTTGTACGGATCAATAGCATTCAATTTCAGTGTCTCTGCAAATTGTAAGAAAAGGACCTCTTAAAATAGAAAAGGGAGCACTTCTCCTTGGACACGCTCAGAAACTTTCAAATCCACATCCAGGAGGGCGATAAGGAATTCAAGATAGAGGGCCTGAGTTTCATTTCATAAACTACTTGAGTGCCAATAAAGTTCAGAATAAAACTGAGATCATTATAAGTAATAAATAGGAAACGCAAACAGGGTGTGATAAGACAGTAATACTCACTGTACGCAGGTAATGTCAAAGGAGCCTAATCTCCAAATCCTGTCTCAATGCAATAATAAAATACAATACCAGGCTGAGGTGAGGGTTGATCTCTCTTCTCGCACAGTGCTCTAAAGCTCCCAGGAGAGCGAATGTCAAATATGTAAGACAATAGAGGACAAGTATCAGCCACAGTATAGAAAAGGAACGGACGCGACAGGAAGTATCACAGGCATTCTGATATTCCAGCGCGAAACATTTCAAACCAGAGGCAACACACGTAGATGCTCTTTCATCCGCGCTGTAGAGGAAAGTCACTTTGATGACCTTCTTGTTAGCAGTTTCCAGGAAAGAGAAGTGCAGGAAGGCGAATGAGAGAAGAAGACGTAAATGAGGACAGACTGAGAAAGGCAGAGTTGATCTGTGGCAGGTCTCTTGATGGAAGGTTGTTTTTTTTTCTTCTTTTTGAGACAGTTTCTTTGAACGTCTGTCTGTCTCATTACTCACTGTGATGTTTGCACTGCCAGGATGGAGGGAAACAGGCATCACAACAGCAACAGTCTGGGCGCCCTGGATGCAGGTCTCACAGGGAACTATCAATCACGCTATAGTACTCTTACAGGGAACAGGGACGTTACATAACCCAGAGGGATTCTGCCACAGTCGGCGTTATCGCTTTGCAAAGTGAACTAATTTGAGCTGGAATTCTTAGACGTTAAAGCAACACAGGGAGAATTTAATTTTCTCAGGTTTCTCTCAGGTTTTAGGGAGAAAATGAACTTCATTTCAGTCCGCTAACACTAGAAAACTAGCCACCACTCTGTAAGAAATGTCTTCAGAAGGGGGAGATGCTGACAAAATCTTCTTGTATCTGCTCGTGTTAAGGAGACGGTCTCGCCTTCCCTGTTTTGACAAAGTTCCTGTTGAAAGCCGGAGGAGTGACTGAAGGGTAAAGTCGGGGGAGGTTTATTCGCAGGGCGTGGCGGGCAGGGGTCACTCATTAAACAGGCCTGCCATAGGTTCATTGGATGGAACTATTTACAACCACTGGTGGAGCATGAGGTCGTCGGTACAGATAAGACAGTTTTCCAGGAAGTGCAAGTAATGGAAAAAGTCTCATTTGGACCCGTTTTCCTGTCCCGTTTTGTTTTTTTAACTGAAACACGGTACATTCTCTAAATTAGTGGGGATGTAATAGGCTGCCAGTCTTTATCAAAACCAAAAATGATAATTTTGAGTAACCTTGCATTCATTCATCACATTAGCTTGACGGCAAATGTGTGAGCAGTTCCAAAGCTCTCTGACCGTGTGGGGGTGTTGTGTCTATAGTGAAAGAACTACGTTGTGGTGACGACATGATGAGTGACTCGCTTGTCTTATTCAGTCATCACTGTCAGCTATGCTGCCCCTCATTGTTGGGAGCTTTTTGGGAGCTATAAATAGCTCTTTGGGATTTAAAGCCTGTCTAAATTTACTGGCCCATTCTCTCTTATAGGCACACCGTGTTGGGGGGGGCGGGGACTGATGACTCAGCACCACGTGGCTCTCCGCGCGGAGGTGATGTGGGCGGGGCCAATATGGAAATGCGCGGGCGTTTGTCACAACCTGTAAATGAATCATCCCTGAAACTGTTTGTGTGTAACAGGGAGATAAAGAGAGACGGAACAGACCCGTCGGGAATCCCAAGGTACACCCTGGTTTGATTTACTAGTTTGCTCGTTCTGTTGACATTTATATGCGGTTTTTTTACTTTGGGGGAAAACTGTCGGCGGATATTAACACTCAGTGTGCAGCTGCAGTGGGTGGTGACACTTTATTTCAGACTCAAGGTCCAGATAGAGATCTAGAATCTGATTGGTTTGCAAACTAAACTTAAATATTTCCACATTGTCAAGTCCAAGCAGGGTTTAAAAAAACAACAACCGCAACGTCGCTTCTGTGCGTTATGGGCGTGCGTTCAAGCGTGTTCGGGAAGTCACCTGGCTGACGTCACGCATGGACTGGAGCGTCCACAGCGCGCCGCCGTGGAACTGCAGTACGCGCCCAGTCTCAGTCTCACACACACACACCCACACACACGCGCGCAGAGAGAAAGAGAGAGAGAGAGAGAGGGAGAGAGAGAGCACGAAGGAGCGACCAGGACCGACCTGAACACTTCCTCAACCGCTTTCCGAGGTTTCAGGAGCCGGTGCACCGCGGGGACAGCGGGCCGAGAGCCGACGACTGTCCAGCTGAGCGGAACAGGTAACGTCCCGACAAGTCCCGGCTTGCTCGAGGAGAGGCTTGACTTCTCCAGTGGTTGGTGTGTGTGTGTGTGTGTGTGTCTGTCTGTCTGTCTGTGGGGGGAGTACTTGGTGTTTGTTTGACAAAACGGGACAGCAGCAGTCTTTACCGCGAACACCCCGGTGGCCGGAGGGATTTGGGGGCTTGTCGGGTGCGAGGGAAGTTCCTGCCGCCGGGCCGCTCCACCGGGACACGGCGGGACGCGTCTTCCGTGATAAGTGTAGGGTTTGTCTCCTTATGGCGATCGGTGGAAGTGTCTGGGATCAGGGTAACTTGGGGCGAAACTTTCATCAAAATGTTGAGGATCGCCACAACGGACCAATACAAACAAAAAAACAAAGAAACCATTAAAAAAAGTCCATATCAGCCTCTGAATGTCACGTGTTATTATGTAACAGGAGACAAGCTTCCCTTCAAAACACCTTAACATGGATTCCGGTTTGTATACTAAGTAACTACTGACAGTTGCATCAAATCCAAATGATTGAGGTTCTACATGTATTCAGAAAACGTGCACGTGCAGATACATTCAGTTGAACTCTGTGTGTGTCATGTTTTGACTTTGCTCATTGTGGTCTAACTTGAACTGGATCCGGTTTGCCGGGTTTGTGAGAGCCTCATGTTCCTCAGGATTCACATCACAACACTCTTTCCCCTCCTTCAACGATCGAAATGCTTCAATGTTTAAACCGCTAAGAGGGCGACTGAGAGTCAACCAAAGGAAGTTCCTTGTGTAAGCAGGATGAGTAAATAAGTCGATGCGTGAACACTAACCCTGCATTCTTGTGGGTGTAAACAGCTCGGCCTTCTGAATACATTATAGACAAATCGTTATAATTTTTTTGGCCCTATTTCGAAATACTCCTTCCAGCGCTTACGAAAAAAAAGACGTGTGTCCCAACCTACGACCGAATTCTGCCTTCGTGGCGAGACAGTGTATCCTGTTGCCGTCTTCTGGAGGCGATGGCGCTGGTAACACTATCTGCCCGCATCTGCCTGCAGTTACTGATGTGTCAATATTGGCTTGAGGCTTGGTGAGCTGCTTGGTAGGACGCGGTTGGGACATCTGGTCATTGTAGAGTTGGTCCTCCGCTACTGATCCCTCGATAGCACACTACCTTCTCTCAAAACACGACTGCAGAGTTGATGATAGGGGACAATAGGGGAAGAAAAACTCCAAAACCAGTAATTAGTGGCTTTAGAACTGGGTATTGAGCCCGTGTACTTTTGAAGTCCACCCTAAACTGTGCACCTTAAACGTACTGAATGTTGACATTAGTCTATTTTATTTAGTTTAATAAGCTTTTTACACAATTGAATTATATCATGTATGCGTTCTTGGTCTTTAAACTGAAAACCGTTCTATTCTTTCTAATGTGCCGTAAAACAGCAAAGGGACAGTAGCTGTACTGCAGCACTTTTCTTACAATGTACAATAAGTGATTCTTCTCAAAGCAACATTCCCGTTCTTCTGTGCAAAACTACACACACAGGCAGCACACCCACAGACACAGCAGTTTGGACAGCATTAGGTGAATCAGCGCTGGGAGATGATAGTTTGGCACATTACTTGCCCTTGGCCTCTTGTTACTATACCACTCTCCCCCACACACACACTCTCCCCCACACACTCACTCTAGACCTCATGCTATCCTGCTCGCCTGGCTCAGATGCTATTTTGTCTTCCTTTAACCAAAGCTTTGTGAACTGCAAGCGAAGCAGAAATGGACACCGCTCTTAATGGAGAGGAGAGTGAGACACACACACACACACACACACTAGCAGCTGGATTCATTCCATGCTGGTACAGCAGGTTTGACAGTGTGCCAGAAAAGCTCAGAGAGAACGGGTTAGACATACGTCTGAGTTCCTACTGTCAGTTCATCATCATCATCAGACCGTGTCCTTGAACCAGCAGCGTCGGCTCTGGTCTCATTCCTCTTTGAATCTCAATCACTTTTCTTCCCTGTCCTACTCGGCTGCACTGTGCAAAAGAACGAGGGGGAGACTCATTTCTTTTTTGCCTTTTTAAGTGTTTGCGTCTCCCGAGACAACATCTGTAATAACGCTGTTGACTTGACCTCTGTGAGGTTGTGGGGGTTTGGCTTCAGAGGCGGTCGGGTGTTCGAACATTAACCTCGGCCGCTGAAAGAAAGAAAGGAAGGCTTTGAGTCTTTGCAGGCGCTCTCCACCGAAATTCATTAAAGGCTGCTTTGTTCAAGGTTATTAGTGTGTGCATGCGCGCAGGTACCCGTGGGCGCTTTGGAGGCGGCGTTAATGCGCTAACAATACATGCCACCGTGGCTCAGTGAAAGACTTTGGGATTATAGAAAGTTTCGTGTTAATTCTTCAAAATCACAGTGGAATAAAGACAATGTAAATGACGCTTTTTCTCATGTTCGTACCTCCGCCGAGTCACAACGCCACAATCAATGGGGTTGGCCGGACGGGTCAGAGGTGCAGCACGTTCTTTCTACCATTCCGGCAGATGTTCAGAACAATCGTTCTCCATGACCACTGTTTGATTTCCAACGCAGGGGGGGAGTTTTTGTTTGCGCTATAATAGCGAAGAGCGCAGTCGCGCAATGGACCTCTATTCACACAGCTCCCCAGCAGGTTATTAGGTTTGGGTGCCCGCTTGGCCGGGCTGACGCCGGCTTGTTCAGGTACATTATAGTCGCGTGGAGTCGTGTTTGTTCGGCTCTAATGTCCAACCATTGTTCTTTTTTGTGTGCGTGTGTGTGTGTGTGTTTTTAATTATGGCCTGTGCTCTCTGTGACTTCTTCAAAGACGTCTTGCCAACAAAAAGCAGATGAGTCAGCGGAATTTAAATTACAAGTATTGCGTTAGTTTGAATAGACATTTTTTCACTGTTCACACGTTTGACAGGTGACAGTGTTATTGGCGACTTTGACACGGTCTGCATTCCCTCTCGGTGCGGCAGCCTCACAGGAATGTCTTATGTTACGTGACATTTACTGTAGCTGAGCCATTGTCATCGCTTTTTGTTGCGTGTGTGCGTTTCCTCGTGTTACAAGGCTAAATCTGTGATGGGAACAAGGTATGTGTGCATGTTTTAGGTTCAAGTGCCTTTATCTCCTGGATATCTTCTATTTCAGAATGATAAATAAAAAAAATAAACATCACTGCTGCATTTAATACCATAATCGAGGTGCACTCTAAAAGTGCCGTTTTCCTCCTTTTACGTGAACGACGTAGGAACTGTAGCCCTTTTCATGCCTAGACTCTTAGTTTATGGGGACATAACGTAATCTGACAAATTGGCATAAACTTAATTTAAATATATTTTAGTTTGGTTCCTTTGCGATCAATGACATCGGTCGACACTCTTCTCTTATCGGACCCGTACTGCCACATTCACGACTTGATGGTTTCACGGGCTTTTGGCTTTGAGTCTGGTGAGGGACACGCATACTCAGGTGGACTGATTAAGGGAACCGTCTTCCCTGTTCGGTAAGAGAAAATTCTGCCCGTAAACACTGGCTGCCTTGTGTCCACGTTCATTCTTACTCATGACATGCAAAGAATGAGTCCCCAAACTGCCCGAACCTGCTGGGCCAATTGTTCCTTTTTCAATGACATAAGCACGAACGCATACCGAAGCCTTGACTGGTTTGTGATGCTTCACTGAACATGACTTTGTTGGTAGAACGTCCATTGTGGACAGTCAGGCATGTCTGTCCCCAGCAAAGCATTGTGTTACAATGCACGCTGTATAATTAAAAACAAGGTTTCACGTCATTAATATTGAAGGTTATTCTTTTGTTGTTATTTTGTTATTTCAGAACCACACATTTTCAAAAGTAAATATGTGGCATGTAGTTTAAGTTGTAAAGTTCATACGACCTCCTCGGAGCGGCTAAAAAGGGGTGACAGGGATTCACTTAGTGGCATTTAATGACGTGTTGTAGTCACATATTTGTTGTCCTGCTTACCTTCTTCCAGTCAGTGTATTATTTACAAATTCTTTTGAGCATTAACACATAATCAATTTTACATTTACTGGTAATTTATAGTCCTTTCAGTCTAGGACAAAAGCCTCAGTGTAGCTAAAGCTGGTTGAGGTTACACACACACACACACACACACACACACACACACACAATATCCAAATATCCGTCTCACTGGAAGCTGACTGAAGGCAAATCTGGTTTTCTCATCGAGTCTGATTTCTCCTCATGGCTTCTGAGTGTGTGTTTTTCTTTTTTTCACTCCCTTTTGCCCTTTTCCCACCCATTCCCCAATTGCATGTGCTCATTTTTTCCACTCTCTCTAGAGAAACAAGGCTCTCTTTTCTTTGTAGAAATGCCTGTGTATGTGTAGGCCAACATAAGAGACTGTGTGTGTAAAGCGGAGAGCAAAGAAACTCTAAAAATGGACGTTAAAGTGTGTATTTCACATCTGGAAAACTCCACAACTTTGGTTAACATTATGTTTGGGTTGTGTGTGTCTGTCTGTATGTAAGCATGCGTGGGCAGAACTGGAGAGCTTGAATAGTTCCTGGACCCTCCGGATCTCACTCAGAAACTTTTTTTTTTTTTAGGTCTCCGGCCGTTTAGCCGGGTCACTCAAAGACCCTTAAAGTTTTCCATTGTGGTCCATCTTAACCCCTCCACCTTAAACCTGGCCCGGGACTTGTTCTTCTGGAACAAGTGGTGGTATGATGGCTCTGTGCTAAGCTCCGTTGCATCAGCACACAAAGGACCCGGGTTCCATTGAGGTGGCCCAAAGGCCTTTTTGTGTGGAGATGCTGGAGACTGTGTAGCTTTCCTCAAGTCTTCCAATGGAGATAATTGCTTGTTGTCTGCATGTTCATTTCATTTCACTTACAATAACAAAACATGTAAGTGAAAGAACTTCTTCTTGTGGCATTCTGGTGCTATGTTACCTTTTTTAAAGTAAACTAGACTGTTGACATTTTCTAACTTATTTTGTAGCTACTGAGTGACCCCTGGCTTTTGGAGCAGTTGGGGGGGCGCTGGGGGGCTAAGAGGCTTACTTAAAGCAAATGGCACCTCAGTGTTGGGTATTAAGACGCCCAGTGTTACTGATTCACTTCACCATCCGTTGCACTGCAAAGCTCCTCCACATTATGATTTTGAAAGGAGAACTGGGGAATTAGAGCACAAGGTTTGCAGTACTTTCCGATCCAGGAGGCCACGGAAGAGAAGGACGAGTTTCTGTGCATTTAGCAATTACTCAACAAAAATGCCATCTCATAGAAAATCTAAACACCAACCAGTCAAGTAAAAAAATCTTAAAGGCACAAGAAGGAGGGATGAAGGAAATAATTCTGACTGATAATTCTGATAAAACAGGACATGCTGTTCAAACCCCACAAGAAGATCTTTAAGAGGAAATGTACGAAACACAATGGAACTCGTGCTGAACAAATCTGTCAGTGGAGCAACTCCGTCGAGATGAAGCAAGCGAGAGACACTTTTGCAAGCTGTGGTTTCGGTTTTAGTTTTGCACTCGTGCAAGAAAGTGTAGAACTTGAACAATGCATCAGAATACGCCTGTGTACCTTTTACAAATGAGTTGAAGTAGATCATTTGACTTTGCCAGCATGGTGGGTCTAATCCGGCCTTTTCTAAGTAGAGTGTTGAGGCACCATTTCTGATTGAGAAAGTCCCACAAAATCAATGTGAATCTATGAAGTAGAAGAGAGACTTCACTGCTTTTTCTTTTACTCTTTGGTTGTCTACCGTGTGTTTGTCTACGATATGTGATCTTTTTGATTTTCTTTTTTCTCTTTGGAAGTCCCAAACTGTGCACATGAGAGAAAGATTCGTGAATGAGTCAGTTTCTTCTTCTCTCAGTAGTTTCCAAATGTATGTCTTGTGTTGAAACTTCCCCTTTGGTTTGCATCTAAGGAAACCTTTTGCCATGGACTCTCTTCCTACTTGTTTTAAGTTCAGAACTTAAGCAATCCCCCCCAAAAAATCCCCATGCGTATATCAAGTCATTTTAAGTCAGTTTTACAAATGCTTACAACGCCACACGACACCTGTCATCTGACTATAATGTTTGTGTATGACCTTCTGACTGTGGCTCTATTTTTTCTTTTTCTTGAAGGTGAGCGGTCACCATGGCACCCTTCCTGCGTATCGCCTTCAATGCGTATGATGTGGGCGTTCTGCCCGGTCTGTCCGAACCTCCCATCTGCGCCATCAAGATGAAGGAGTCTGTCAACACAGGTATGTGCAGATGCACGCACAAACTAGACGAGGGAGCTGCACAACGCAGCAGGGAGACCCAAAGTCCCAGGTTCAATTGCCTCAACAGCCACCATCTGCTGGGCTCAAGAACCCACTAGAGAACTTCTCCTCCTGCATACACGCTTGGCAGTTACTGCTCCGTTGCTGTGACTTTACAGAGCGAGTGAAAGAACGTCTTATGATGATCCTAATTGTTTTTTTGTTTTTTTTACAGAGCGAGGAAAGACCTTGGTCCAGAGGAAGCCCACCATGTACCCAGCCTGGAAGTCCACCTTTGATGCTCATATCCATGAGGGGCGGGTCTTAGAAGTGGTCCTGATGCTCAACGCTGAGGAGCCACTGGCCAAGGCCACGGTCGGGTTGTCTGTGCTGTCAGAACGCTGTAAGAAGTCCAAGACCAGCGGCCACACTGAGTTCTGGCTGGACCTGCTTCCGTCAGGGAAGGTCCAGATGGCTGTCCAGTACTTCTTGGAGGAAACTGATGCAGGTAAAACTGCTGCAGCTTAAAGCCCTTGGAAAATATTGACTATTATTCTAACATTACATTGGTATAAAAGTGTTAGAGTTCAGAAAAAGATATCCCTTGATATTTATTTAAAAAGTGTATCATTTCAAAATCTAATCTGCTTCATCGGGCTCATGTGGCTGAGGTTAGATCAGACTAAATTGACGGTGGAAAATTAAGTGAGCAACTCCACAACTATCATTCAAGTGTTGCTAAATGGAAATAAGTGAAATCACAACATTGCCTTTTTCTTCTTTCTTTTTTTTCGATGAGCCCAACCCATTTGAAACAATTAGAATATTTTAAAAACTAAACGTAGTGCAGCTTTGGCAAGTATATGTGTTTTTCCAACCCCTGTTACTACTCAAAAACTAACAAAAGAAGTGTTCCCTGACCGGGAATCGAACCCGGGCCGCGGCGGTGAGAGCGCCGAATCCTAACCACTAGACCACCAGGGACAACTGCATTGCTGCCCTAAATATAGGGGACCAATTGTGGCTGTTCTCTTTTGTTCTGTTCTCTCTGTTTGTTTTCTAAAGGCCGATGACACTATCCTCTTCTAGCTGACTCAATGTTGTTATTGGACAAATTCCTGGCCGACCAATGGCTTGATTTGACTCATAAAGAACTAGTTGTATTGGACACAACAAGGGTTGTGCAAAATGACACCACTTTCATGTAGATGCACAGAAAATCACTCTCTTTGAGTGACTTTATGTGCTCTCATTGGGGCGAGCGGATTCCAAATCTATTTTTTCAATCTGTTGCTCTTCCAACACACAATCTCAGCTAAACTAAATAGTTATTGTGGAAATCTCAGGAGAGTGCGGAGTTCTGCGCCAACTGCCCTGCAATAAACTGCCTCCCTAAAAAAGCCGCGGGTTAATTTTTGTGCCGACATGTATGAAGTTAAGCTTGTCAGCTGACTATAGGTGTGGCCATACAACCGATCCATCGCATTCCTTCAAGGACGTCAACAAGCATCGAGGCTGTCAACGCGACTATGTCGTATGATGAATGTACAGCGCACAGCTCATGTAACAAAAAGGGTGAATTCTGATATTTGGGGATGGTAAGGTCACTTTAATATATTTAACACAGCTCAAATCTCATAACTGGCCTTCTTGGCTTTCAAAACTCTATTTTAGTTTCACTTCATGTTCAAGAAGCAGAAGTTAAGCCGGCCGGTACTAACCAGCAGGGCTGCAATCAACTACCGGCCCCCTAGCAGTAAATGTTAGGGGGCCGGGGGGGGGGGGCGTCTGCTGCTATGAAAGGACTCCATACTCCATCAGCTGCCTCCTACACACTCCACAGGTTTCCTGAAAAGCAGCCCGGAGTATTTTTAGGCATGTGTGAACGGCCCTCAGCGGCCTGTCTCCTTTCTCTTGCCCACTCTCTGTCTCTCTCTTACGCCCACCGTCTCGCCTCAGCTCCCTGACGCGCCGTCCAAACGCAAACATCTGTCGGTGGTGCGGCAGACAGGAAATTAGTTTATCCCCTCTCTCATCATTCTTCCCACTTTTCCCTGTCTTATCTATTGTCTCTTTAAGGCTACTCCTTTACTGAATTCTCTCCTCTCTCCCTCACCCCCGTCCAGCCATTTACCCTCCCGTTCTTAGTTTTCTCTCAAGCCCCTTTTGCTGTGGTCTCTGGGTGACCTTTGAACCCCAGCCCGTTGATTTGCGTCAGTTGAAGCTGCTTATACAAAAGGTCCTTTTTCTGTGTTAACCCTGTATGGAACAACAGTAACCTAACCCCCCCCCCCCCTTGTATAGCTAGTAAGTCCTTTTGATTAAACAGCCTTTGGATATTAGAGATGATGACTCATTTATTATAAAACACACTGTAATGTAATTTAAGGTAATTTAAGGATGTAATTTAAAAGCTCATCCGCTAGATTGTAAAAAGGTTTGGGTGCTTAAATAATTGAAGTCACTGCACCATTGATATCTTTTTCATTTTCTATAGATGATACTGCACTTTAAAGCTGTTTGAAGGACACCGTTGTTTGATTTGTAAATCAATCTCTCCCCTCAGCCCAGTCTCAGCAATCGGTCAAGGTTTCTATGGAGGACGGAATGACGACCCTCAACAGGAGGAGAGGAGCTGTCAAGCAGCCCAAAGTTCACGAGATCAAGAACCACGAGTTCACCGCCACCTTCTTTAACCAACCCACCTTCTGTTCGGTCTGCAGAGAGTTTGTCTGGTGAGATGCCATGTCCCATCTGTCATTATTACGTCATCCTTTATTCCCGGAAGCAGATGATTTTCCCGTCTCCTTGTTGTTCTGCAACTTATTTCACTTATCATTGGGTTCATATTAAGATGACGCTGGCTGGGCTTTGTTCATTCCAGAGCGTTTAAGCTGTCACCTTCCAAATGAGACAAAAAATGTTTTTGTCCAAGAAAAGTCCCCCCCCCCCCCCTTCCCCCCCACGGGTGCTTCTCCAAAGAGCAATTAGTAGCGGTTCTAGTTTCCTTAATGGAGCAGTGTGGGGGTTTGTAATGGTAGAAACAGCAGCAGGACGGCTATTGTGAGATGAGTCACTGTCTTGGGAAATCCCACAAAGCTGTTAAGTTGCCTTCCAACTATGTCACAAGGACTAACCAACCTCCTACTACTACTATATTCCCCCTTGGAGCCCGGCAGATGGAAATATGATGCCGCCTTTGCCGCCGATATGTGTGGCGCTTTGGCCTATTTATTATCTGAGCATTTTCATATTTAAATATTCCAATTTGGCGATCCAACACGTGAAAGATATCGTTTCATTATGCTTGTAAACAAATAAACCAAGTTTATTACTGGAGTTATTGCTGTGCCAACTCCAGTAACGGGTGTCGCAGGCTTTTTGCATGCATGTTTATGCACTAGCAGAATACTTTTTTGCAGAGAACACAGATGTAGTTAGGTAATTGTTTTATAAAGGAGTAGGCCAATTATCTGCATGTCTGCTTCAGCACATCACTGTCAAAACACCATGCCTTCTACTAAAAAACATTCTGAATATATTGCTTTGATGTAAGAAGCCCTATTTTTATTGTTGGCCGAGGAAATGCCTTTTCTGCTCCTTCTCACCCGTTACAAAGATTCAATTGCATTGCTTTCTCTCTCCATTCAGGGGGCTCAACAAGCAAGGTTACAAGTGCAGACGTGAGTGTTTTCACTTAATGCCATCGACATTTTTTATCAAATTCCATCCTTTTGTGTTCCTATCAGTTAACAACATATATATTCATTTATTTCACCCAGAATGCAATGTGGCTATCCACAAGAGATGCATTGAAAAAATCATCGGCAGGTGCACTGGCACAGCAGCCAACAGTCGGGAGACAATGGTGAGCAAAGTGCTGTGTGTCCTCACCTCAGATCTGACACTCTTTCCTTTATAGCATGTATGCACTGTGCACATGCACTGTTTTCCCCACTAAAAACAACGCAAATAGTTTTTCAATTAAAAAAAGAATTGGCTGGTTAATATAATTAATCTCAAACTAAAGCTAAAACTGTCAGAAAACACAATCATGCATGTGTTACCGTTATTATTATATTATATTATATAGTTTTATATATATAAAAAAAGTTTTATATATATTATATTATATAGTTTTAATTGTTCTCTGTGTGCTTGTAGTTCCAGAGAGAACGCTTCAAGATCGATATGCCGCATCGCTTCAAGACCCATAACTACAGGAGCCCCACTTTCTGTGAGCACTGTGGCAGTCTGCTCTGGGGTCTCTACAAACAGGGCCTTAAATGTGAAGGTAATGTGTTTTTTCTACTCTGTCTTGTAATATATGTGTTTTCTCTTGCCCCCCCTCCATTATTTCTCTACCATTGCATCTCTTCCAAACCAATCATTTTTCTTTCCTCTGACCAGACTGCGCCATGAATGTCCATGCTAACTGTAAGAAAAAAGTGGCCAATCTGTGTGGAATCAACCAGAAACTACTGGCCGAGGCTCTGCTTCAAATCAGCCAGGTTGGTACTGCGATAAACTGTTTATTTTACTTCACCTGCACTCATTTTGTTTAGGTCAGTGGTGATAAGAGACCTTTTCTTTCATCCTTAGAAATCTGTGAAGAGGTCTGATGACTCCAATACAGAAGATATTGGGATCTATCAAGGCATCAATAGTGCAACAGTAGACCCTAGTGGTAAGATGGGTTTTTAATACAAAGGTGTTTAGTTTGTCATTTACGGTTCAATGAGAACAGTCATTTTGATGATTAAACCCATCTCTAAAACTTTGTTTGAGTTTGCATGCATCTGTGCATCACGCTTTGCACATATATTTACTCTGTGTGCCAATTTGCACCTATAGCCGACCGCAAGGAACACGAGGGCTCGGGTGCAGCCCCAGCCGCACCGACAGTTCCCCAGGTACGCCTCAACATCAACCAACTGGTATTCCACAAGGTGCTGGGAAAAGGCAGCTTCGGCAAGGTAAGCCTGGCAATCCCCATGTTTACGTTGCTCAAATCAACATGATTGTGTAGACATAAAAATGGAAGACACGTCAAACATTTTTATGTCAATGGTGTTAATCCTGAATAGTGTCCATGTGGATGTAAGCTTTTAGATATTACTATCTATCAAATATGACCATGAAAATGACAGTGATGGTCCATATTTTTCTCTGAATTATTATAACTCAAGCGAGCTCTCAAGGTCACAGATCTTCATGACAAATTCTTATGATGTCTTAGTAATTATGATATTTGGTATCATTTTTAATTCATTTATGAGCTGTAGCTTAGCGTTTTTTTTCATGAACTAGGTTTGTTAGATCCATACTTTGATTAAGTGCCTGTTACATGACTTCACTCACATCGATAATGGAGGTGGTTCTCAGCTAACAGAAGGGCTCGGTTATTTATCAATCGCTATAGATTCAAAGCACCACTTGACGGGCACATGCACCCTACAGGAAGGTTGACCTATTTGAGAGAACCGAGCGGCAGATGATGAATCTGTATCTGTATAAACCTAAATAACCTCCTCGTTTTTTAACTTTGCTATGAGTGTACTCCACGAAACTACCCTGACGGTGCGCTCATTCTAAGTGGCTTTGACACCCCAGGTGCTTCTGGCAGAGCTGAAGGGGCAGGGCCAGTATTTTGCCGTGAAGGTCCTGAAGAAGGATGTTGTTCTCATGGATGACGACGTGGAGTGCACCATGGTGGAGAAGAGAGTCCTGGCCCTCGCCTGGGAAAACCCCTTCCTCACCCACCTGTACTCCACCTTCCAGTCTAAAGTAAGCACGGGGGTATTTAACATCTACTAGTAAACCATGTGACAAAGCCGCTCCTCTGATGGGGAACTAACCCGGGCAGCAGCGACAATAGTCACAACTCCCAGGTGTTGATAGAAACGTTCCCGCGCCCTTTTTCCTGAGTCCGCTCTCTCTCTCTCTCTCTCAAACACAGACACGCACACTGTTCACTTCTCATTTGTCGGGAAAAAGCGAGCTGACAGTAATGTGTTGTTTGCACAGGAGCACCTCTTCTTTGTGATGGAGTACCTGAATGGAGGAGACTTGATGTTCCACATCCAAGACAAAGGCCGCTTCGATCTCCTCAGAGCCACGTAAGCACAGCAACTGTCATTTTCCATATTGGAGGACATGTAACGAACTCTTGAACACAGTGAAGCTGTGGCTAATGTTTTTTTTTTTTTTTTTCCTCTTTGCACATTTCAACCTTCAGATTCTATGCCGCGGAGATAATAGTGGGACTGCAGTTTCTCCACTCAAGGGGAATCATCTACAGGTAAGATCCCAGAGCCGCTCTGCACCGACGTCTGCAGTCTCTGCGAGGCCGCAGCTGAATCGCTACAGAACTCCAGACAGAATATGCCGTACTGGATACAAGTCTGTATTGTATAATTTTCCTTTTGGCTTTCCTCAGAGATCTGAAGCTTGACAACGTGATGCTGGACAAGGACGGACACATCAAGATAGCAGACTTTGGCATGTGCAAAGAGCGTGTGTTTGGAGAAGTCCGAGCCACCACGTTTTGTGGGACACCAGACTACATCGCGCCGGAGGTTAGATGTCACATTCCATACCCGACTTGTCGTCGTCACTGATGAAAAAAACAAAATGGGTTGTTTTGTTAAACGGTCTCTCCTCTCAGATCCTGCTAGGACAGAAGTACACCTTCTCGGTAGACTGGTGGTCTTTCGGTGTGCTGGTGTACGAGATGCTGATCGGCCAGTCGCCTTTCCAGGGCGACGACGAGGATGAGCTCTTTGAGTCCATCAGGTCGGACACCCCCCATTACCCCCGGTGGATCACCAAGGAGGCCAAGAACCTCGTTGAACAGGTAGCCCAACGGGGATACATATGTTCCCATCAGGCACACTGTGTTCCACGTGGGCAGACGCAGTGTTTGTGTTTTCAATCAACCGCCTTCTTTCTCTCCATCATCATTTCTAGTTGTTTGAGCGAGATCCCACTCGCAGGTTGGGTGTGGTGGGCAACGTCCGTGCCCACGCGTTCTTCAAAACCATCAACTGGCCTGCACTGGAGAAGAGAGAGGTGGACCCACCCTTCAAGCCAAAAGTGGTATGATTTTGGTTTCTTAACTGACTGTGGTGGATTTGACTTGATGCGCGAGTATGATCGTATGAATCCGATTACTTCCGCGAACTTACTGAAATCCCCGACCCGCCGCCCACAGAAATCCGCCAGCGACTGCAGCAACTTTGACCGAGAGTTCCTGAGCGAGAAGCCGCGTCTCTCCCACGCGGACAAGAACCTCATCGATTCCATGGACCAGGCGGCGTTCGCTGGCTTTTCCTTCATCAACCCCAAACTGGAAAACATGATTACCAAATGAAAAAAGCAAAAACAGCCTTTAAGTTCAAGGGGATAAATGACAAAAACATGGAGGGATTTGAGCTTGACTATGACCTCTGTGGTTCCTCTGTCTGATAACGAGAGATGAAGTGAATCCAGGAGGTATGCTGGCGTCTAACGCAATTAACTTGTCTCCGTTGTCAAACATTATAGCTGTATAAAATAATATAACGCTCCAGGGAAATTAAGGGAGATTTGCATAATCAATGCTGGCGAATGGGGACAGTCGGTGATCCAATCTTTTCCGTCATTTTTCCTTGTGACGACACTCTGAATCTAAAATCGAAAGTACTGTATTTGAATTCACCGGATTTAAGAGACTTCTGAATCGAATTAATGTTATTGCAGAACTGAATAACTTACTCCATCACTTACTGCACTGTCTTGAGAATACAGAGTCTTAACATAACCGGAGAAGCGTTAATCTGTTTTAAATGTTGTCAAGTATTTGAATATGGCCTTGGTGTCCATCAAACCTTAAGTTTGATGTTGAACGACAAAAGCTATTTGTGGTGCAGACGATCGCTCAGCACTGTTTATTGATTTTCTGAGCTGTTATGACATGTTGGGCAATAATGTTGTGGAACTAAACCTGTATATGTGTTGAAGGATGTGTTAATTTGTGTGGGAAGTATGGGCATTCCTCTGTAAGCGTTAGGGTGTTATGTTACTTAAATGTGGGGATTTTAATATGAAAAAATAGTGCTATATATGGGAAATTAATATGTACATTCCGATGAGCTGCCTGTGAGTTATGGTTCTTTTTTTTACTCCTCTTTTACATCTGATTATAAATAAACATACCTAACAAACTCTTAAATCCCAGCGTCACTTAATCACATTTCGTATTGCATTTGCATGAGTTTGAGGCTGACGTGCATCTCTACGTAGACGTTATTTCAAAATAGAAATCCTATTGTAAAGGTTATTATGCCATAGAAATGACTGCACTGCATTCCTGCTGTTATTGTGTGGTCCCCTGGTCACTGCTGGTTTGAGGAGTCGGCACTGGACACTGACGTAGGGTCTCTAGTGCCTCACTTCAGAAGATGTCAGTCATTTTGCAAGAGCACCAAAAAACATTTGCAAGCACCACAGGGACGTTATCCGCGCCCAGGAGAGAAAGACGCGCCGGGCGTCACTGACATCTAGCGGTCAGGTGACGTAACTGCATCTCCTCGTGTGTGTGCAGGAAAAGGCGAGGAGACATTCCTGCAGTGCGCACGGCTTATGACTTGTCCTCGTCCTCTGTCCCCCCCCCCCCCGCCAGTAATCCCGTGCCTAGTGCAGGATGTCCACGGTAAACCAACAGCTCTCACGAGGCACAGCGCGGTCCACTGAGCAACGAACCGATTCAAGTTGTTCAAGAGACATTCGCCTGAAAGGCATCAAAGACCGATGCGGCGTTGAAGTTGTAGACATCTTAAAATAAAGGAAATCACCCGACACATTAGAAAAAAAATACCAAAAGCAACAATGACATGTTTTTTTCTTCTTTCTCTGTTAATTACTGAACCGAATAAGCCGATCATCACATACGGTCTTTTGTTTGAAAGCTTGTACGGAGAGAACCTCCGCAGTTAAATAAAATGACTGACTAAATTTCGGAGTAAATGCCTGCCCCCTTTTGATGTATTCATGGCTCTCCCGATTGTTTCTGCTTTTCACGATCCGACAGCTTTTCTGTAGCTCACATGTATCGTGAGCCACTGATTTCCCCCCACAGTGCGTGCATATGTTTCCTTTCCCTTTTTCTTTTGTTGTAATAACCATCCGAAGGGGTTGGTCTTATTATCTGAGGCAGTTAGCAAGTGAGCGGCAAAAGCTCTTTCCGGCTCATAGAAACGACGTCCAAAACGAGAAATACGCTTATGTAATAAAGATATTGCATTCACAATACGAAATGGATGCACTTTGAGAATTGCAATCACAGTGCGAAGACATATTTCCAGCAGTTTCTCCCACCCTTTTATCCCAAAAGCCGACTTGACAGCCGCCTGTGCTGCAGAAGTGTTACAGCGATGGCATATAGAATTGAATTCAGTCATGACAGGGCGTTGTTGCGATTGATTCAAAAAGCAATTGCCCATTCAGCCTTTTATTGGGAATTGCAGGGCTATTTTATGCACTTAAAAAAAATATTGCACTATTGAAAATCAAGCCACCCGAGGTCACCTTCAATAACAAAATCTACGGGCTACTTTGTGGAAGAACAAATTGCTTTTCCGAGGCAAAAAAACTCCACTTATCGAAAGTGGGTCGATTATATGTGCAATTGATTCCAGCTCAACCGTTAACTGAGTGTTGATTCCGCGGGGGATGAACGCAATTTACCGAGTGGACGTGTTGACCCTCGTGGCATTGTCACAAATAAAGCAAACGGAAATCAAGCTGCTTAACTCTGTTATTTTCCCCTTTTTTGAGGTTTTCTAGATTTGTATTGTGTGGTATTTTATTGTCTGTGTGTGTGTGTGTGTGTGTGTGCGTGTGTGAAGATGGAAGTCGGTGTGGTGTAGCCGGGCTCAGAGGCATAAAGGCGACCGAACATGCGCAGTGGACATTTGTGCCATATTGGAATGAGGTCGTGAACGAGAACTGCGTCAAGCTATCGAGATATTACCGCGGCAGCGCCGGAAGTGTAACCATCCGCCCCTCGACACGAAAGGTACCCGCCGTTACGTTGACGACCAACCCGACTTCCGCCGTTTTATTTTGAAAGAGTCAACCGGGGCTCTCGGTTTCCACTCACGTCAGCTCAACGTTGCTGCGAGCGAGCGAGCGAGCAGGCGGAGAGGAACGGCATCTAAAGAAAACCCACTTGGAAAAACTACTTAGCGGTAAGAGACGAATTTTGCGACTAGATATTCACGTGCTTCGCGTTGTCGGTTACGGGCCCCTCGCCGTGTTTCTCGCCGCGGCCGCGCGTCCGTCTTTTTTCCCGTCTCCCAAAAAGATGAGCCGGGTTCGGTCGAGTGTAAGCGCCCTCATCGCTCGTCAGCCGCGGCGTCCAGTTAACTTGACCCGGACGCCGCGCGCGTCCACGACCGCGTGTTTATTTCGGCACAGGGAGGCTCGTTCGACGCGCGTCTCGGTCCGTCTGTCAGTGTTCTCCTCATTGTGAAAGTTAGACCGTCGGCGCTGTAGTCTCTCTCTCTCTCTCTCTCTCTCTCTCTCTCTCTCTCTCTCTCTCCCCCCTCTCTCTCTCATCGGTGATACTAAACGCTGCGGCGGTTGGTTAGTCTGCACAAGCTGCGCAAAAAGCTAGTTTCGGTTCAGCGATCGTGCGGAGATCGCCAGTGTTTTTTTTGGGGGGGGGGGGGGGTGCGTTTGCACGTCAGTATATTTCCTTACATAATGATGCCGTTTGTTTTGTAAACGCCGTGTGCCTCGGACAGCTGGTGGTCGGGAGGTTTGCTCCGGAGGTCGAGCCTATTTGTTGCCATATTACTTAACTCTC